GACCGTCATGTAAGCACTGTTTCGATTGCCCAGGAGCTAAACATTGCACAGAAAACCGTTTGGAACCACTTGAATAAGGCTGGATACAAAAAGAAGCTCGATGTATGGGTGCCACACGAGTTAACGCAAAATAACCTCATGGACCGAATTTCCATCTACGAATCGCTGCTGAATCGCAACAAAATCGACCCATTTCTGCAGCGGATGGTGACTGGTGATGAAAAGTCACTTACAACAACGTCAAGAGAAAACGGTCGTGGTCGAAACGCGATGAGCCGGCGCAAACGGTGGCCAAGCCAGGATTGACGGTCAGGAAGGCTTTGCTGTGTGTTTGGTGGGATTGGCAGGGAATCATCCTACTATGAGCTGCTCCCCTACGGCCAAACTCTTAATTCGGACCTGTACTGTCAACAATTGGACCGTCTGAAGGAATCAATCGCCCAGAAGCGGCCAGCTTTGGCCAATAGGAGAGGAATTGTGTTCCATCAGGACAACGCCAGGCTACATACATCGATAGTGACTCGCCAGAAGCTCTGGGAGCTTGGTTGGGAGGTTCTTATGCATCCACCTTATAGTCCGGACCTAGTACCAAGTGATTACCACCTGTTCCTGTCTATGGCGAATGATTTTGCTGGTGAAAAATTCGCCTCAAGAGAAGCTTGTGAAAATCGACTGTCCCAATTTTTTGCCAATAGGGACAAGAATTTCTATGAGAGAGGCATAATGAAATTACCTTCAAAATGGCAACAAGTTATCGAACAAACCGGTGCATATTTGACCTAAATCGGATCATTCTAACTATGCCAAATAAAGCCTTCAATTTCATACAAAAATAATGGATTTCTTTTTACTACACCTTATATATATATATATATATATGATTGGCTATGTCCAAATGCACCGTGTCCAAGTGCACCTCTCCCTATCCCGATAGCCAAGCCTGCGCGATCAACTTTCGAGTAAAGCTTGATCTCAACTGTTGGTCGCAAATAGGCACCAAATTTGAAGCAACATTTGTTATATCAAATGTTGGTGTCAAACTGCGGTAAAATACGCGGCAAACGTTGACGTCAAGAGTTTGATGCAAATTTGCAGCAAACAGCGCGCAAACGTTGCGCGCATAGGTTGGCAGTAAGTTGGCGGCAACACCGGAGCAGCGTCTTGAACTCAACAGTAGAGCGCAAATTGGCAGCAAATTGGCAACAACAGTTGCACTAAATCAGCTGATCGCTTTAAATGGCGCGCATGGCGTATATAACTTCGGTCGTTAGATTAGGTTAGATTGGAATTGTTATACGTTAAAATAAATTAAAATTGGTATTTGTGAGTAGACAATATAAATTTTATTTTGTACAAATATGAAACATATATACAGATTTTTTAGTATAATAACGCGATATGCTTGCTCATTTTCGCGAGCGCATATCTTCGATGAAATCGAGGATGAACTATATTAAGAGAGATACATTAACATTGAATTCTTCTAATACAATAACCTAAATTGTACGATAGATCACGATATATTGCCGTAATTCTCCACATCATCCGACATATCGTAATTAATTACGTGTTTCACATCAGCAAAATCGAGATCTTTGGACGCAACATCCGTCGTAACCAAAACATTTTTCCGAGCTGCGTGAAACGTTTAGACGGAACACCATCTTTCCTCCTGATCTGTAAGTGACAATGTTTGTGAGTATTGCACATAATAGAATAAATGACAAAATAAATGGACTACACGAACTAGACACTCTTTATCATAATTGGTTAACTGCATGCTACTCTTAAGCGTCTTCTACAATGGCAGTAGGAGTAGTAAGAAATAAGCAGTAAGTAAATAGACCAATCACAATCGATTATTTTTTAAACGTAAGAATGGAATTGGTCAATTTGCTTACTGTTTATTTCTTACTACTACTCCTACTGCCATTGTAGAAGACGCTTTAGGGTGCCGTTACATGCGGTGTAAGGGTGAAGTCCCATGGAGGCAGCGTACGGCGTACCGGCGTATGGCGTACAGGAACTAGACCAATCACAGGCTTTACGCCCGTTTCGTTACGCCAGCACGGATGTTACGCTGACTTTTGTAGCGTTCCAACGTTACGTTACACATGTACACACATATAGTTAAGATACATGTTCCTAACCTAAATAAAAGAGTTACATTATTAAAAGCAACACATAATTTAAAATAGTTTTTAAATACAATTTTAAAATGAATAAAAACCAGTCAGGTTGTTTCTTAGTAAGTATCAGTTTATAAAATTTTTCATACAGCGTGACATATAAACACAGAGTTAAAAGAAAACAAAATAAAAAACACATTTATAAATTAGAATTAGAATTAATTCTTACACATTAGAATTAATTCTTTTTTGGTTTTTTAGGATAATATCTTTATCTTTATTCTGAAAATTGATGTGGGAGCTTTTCAACTACGGACACTGTGTTACACAAAAGCATTCTATTGACTGTATATTACCTAACAAGATATTTTCGAGAATTTACAGTCAATAGAATGCTTTTGGGTAATACAGTGTCCGCAGTTGGAAAGCTTCCATTATCACCCTTTGTCTGGTAAATACACTTTAGGAAGTATATTAATTACAAAAAATTTTTGTTTAGAACATAAAATGTGGTTATTGCGGCTCAATACTAACCGTCGACACACAAGAACAAATTTTGTGTCACAATTGTTTTCAAAAGTATGATGAAGAGAGACATGCTATATCTATAAACGAAGACTTTGTTGCAATTATTGGTAAATGTTGTAGTAATAATTCTTGTTGTAATACTTTATCTTCTTTAAAACATCCATTATATCACATACATAGGTTTACGATGTTAAATTTAATATGCAACTAATTGTATTTTTACAGTTGAAGCCAGCAATGAAATAGTATCAGAGGACACTAGCAATGAACAGTACTCAACAGATCACCGTGATGAGATGCTAATTAACATTGTACAAACAAAACCAGCATTATGGAATTTCCAAATTCCACTTAGGGAACGGACAAAGGCGAAAAAGAAAGCGCTGTGGAAGGAGGTTGAAAATATGTTAGGAGGTTTGTATAAATATATACAAAATATTAAATAAATAAGTAAAAAGTTTGCTAAGTACAAGCTACAATCTATTTTATGAATAGTTAATTTTGTTTATGGTTACAGGGCTCTTGACTATGGATGATGCAATGAAAAGGTGGAAATATCTAAGAGACTGTTATGTGCGTTACAAACGGCAAATAAACACGTATGTTCCAAGTGGATCTGCTGCACAACCGAGTAAAAAACAGAAAGTATTCCGCTTTTATGAAGTCATGCAGTTTATCGATGATCCATTGGAAAGTGCACGGTATATATTTATATATATTCATAAATTATTAATGATAAATAGTGTAAATACTATTACTAATAACCAAAGAAACATTGAAAAGGCTCGTTCTGAATACAAATCGAAGTATCGATATAAGGGCCGTAACGAGCGACACTGGATGTTCGTGTGTGTGTATATATATAATACCGGCCTATAATTATATTTAAAATATTTATACAAAGTGACCCTACCAAAAATTGTTAAATCGAACAAAAAGTCTTAAAAATAATATCATTTATTCACTAAGTATGTGTGTATATATATATATATATA